TATTGCAGAAGGTATGTATTTTCCGTCCCTCATCACATGCTGATATTCTTTTTTCCGATTTTTCTACGTCTTTGTTTCAACATACAATCAATTATACATTCTCTGAAAAGCAGTTGAAAATAAGAATGGGAATCACTTCTAAAATATTTACACTGTTACGGCCCCAAAACAAAACCAAACTGGTTTAGGGTCGAGTTTTTTTTCTTCTGATTTTCGGGTCGATATTTTTAAATCTTAAGATTTTATTCTGAATCTTTACGTTATAGTTATTTCGTTATTGGTGTAGGTGGATGCTCCCTCTGCCTATGTTTGTGCCGATAGTAAGATTTATAATGCTACGGAATGGTATATTTGTCAGGTAAACCGATATTTGTCTTGCATCCCTTTATTAGGCAAGTAATCTCTGATTATTACAAATGAACTTTTCGAAGTACATACCGGAAGCTTGACCCTAAATACATGTCGGAAACTGGTTAATACGAAGATATCTGGAGTCAAATGCAATCTGCGTCCTCTGTTTAGACTCTCTTAAACCTCTTTAGTCGTGCATAAAACAGTCAAATGCTGCTGGATATTATTGCAGGGAATGAGATGCCCACCGAACACTCATAAGCCAAGTTTTTACGTCAACACTAGTTTGACATCCAAGCATAGTACCGGCAAGGGATCTAGTTCCGGACAGAGAGGAGGGAAAATACCGACGCCTAATCCGGAAGAAACCATGACAGAGGCAGAATTCGTGGAGTGGTTACAGAATGCAGTACAAGCGGGCATGTTTGACGATTTTATAGGTAGCACCTCTGCAGAGAGCCCAGCCACAAAACCCGGAAGTGGTTCAAAGACTGGTGGTAGCAATATGGGCGGTGGTGATAGCGGTAGCGGAAACAAGAGAAAGAAGAAAGGAAAGAAACAATGGTAAGCGGTCGTCAAGCGAACCGAAGGCATCGATGATTAGAAAGTCCCCTTGAAGCATAAAACATGCATGGAAAGAATATCCATACTGATTTAAAATGCATGGAAAGAATATCTGACAATAGCTTATATAACAATAGGAGATATTTTGCTTTGAAATGAGTGGTTTCTCATCAGTGGAATTATACATGTCCTATGGACTTGGGCTGGTCAGGTCAATCTAGTTTTGGTCAGTTCGGGTTTATACTTTCGGATCATTTCGATTCGGGTCAATTTTGATTAAGAATTGTTTTGAGTTTGAGGTTTGAGTTTTTTAGGATAATTTCGAGTATGGAAATTATAATAAGATCGAATTTTGTTATTAGTTTTTATACTACGAGGAAGATGTGGATTTAGTCTCTGTATTTTTATTTGAGATCTTAATAAATTAAAATTAGTTTTTGGGCTTGCCACATCTTCAAAGATGAAAAAAAAAGAGCTAATGTAAACCAAAAAGTTCAAGGATTATATTAGAAAAAATTACCAAATACAAGGACTGAAAAGTGAATTTTATCTCTATTAACAAAACTTCTCCACTTGTAAAGGACTTGAGAACTACGTGTAATATATCATTTGGGGACCTTCCCGTAATTTGAAAAAATACTGAGGGCTAAACGATGAGTTTATTAAAAGTGTAAATTACACTTTTCCTCATCGAGCTATACTCTCTTTCCTATTTTCTTCACCCAACTTTCAATTTTTTTATTTTGCTCACTGAACTTACATATTGAATCATTTTGTTCAATCTCCCGTTCTCTCTAAGGCTGAGTGATGTGGCATTATTTTTATTATTTTATAATATAAAATAATTAAAAATATTAAATAAAAACAGAAGTTGGTCGGAGGCCACCGCTGGCCATCATCGACTGTCGTAAATGATGGTCGGTCGGTATCAAATTTCATAGGTCGCTTCATCTCGACATCGTGAGTCAGAATTCGGCCTCGATCAATAAATTTTTTGGTTTCTTTCTTGCCTTGCAATATATGAGCTCTGCTCCTTTCTTTTTGTTTCTTTAGAATTATCGAGGTTACTGGTGGTTTGTATGACATTCAAGGTTAACATAAAGAATACATTATGGCTGGACACAGTGATTCAAGTTCGTCTGAGAAGAAATCAAGTGAAGCTATGAACAATGTGCCGGTTTTTAGCGCAGAGAACATGCAAAATACCATGAAAGTTATATATTACAGGTTTGTTTTCCATGTTTTCAGAAATGTGGTATTATGTCTCGAATGTCATTAACTAAGTTCTGTTTGAATTTGCAGCCGAACATTTATGTCTATCATCGGAGGGGTTATTGCCGGGATTAGGGTTGACAGGCTTTATGGGATTTGTCTTTTATTTTCTTGTCATGGCAATTACTTCAATTGGACTCATAGCGAAGGTAAAATTCTCGGTTCATTCATATTTTGTTAGCTGGAACCGGGTTATACTCGATGGTTTCATGGGTGGACTTATGGTAAGCTTCTTTAGGTTTCGAGTTGCACTCTACATGTTCCATGTTCTACACTTTCATCAGCTAACAATGTTCTTTAAATTTTTGCAGTCATTCGTTCTATTCTGGACGTATCCTTTCTTTCTTGCAATGATACACGAACACACACAGTAGCACACGCTACCAAACCCTAGTCATTAGTTTGTAGATTCGTCATTGCCGCTGCTGGTTTTTGTTCAAATTGCTAGTAACGCTCGGTCAAGCCGGCAAATCTTAGGAATGAAAATTCGCCGGCTTCCGGTTTATCTTTTACTACATCCTTTTTGCCTATCGGGTACTTTCTTTAACACCAACTGATTTGCCTACGACATTGTGCATATATTTTGAAGAAGAATCCAACACCAGGAGTTCACTGCCGGCTGTTTGCCGGCAACCGGATTCTTCAGTGTTTTGGTTTACTTTCTTTTAGACAGTTTTTATCATATTCTCTTAGACTTCGTCTTAAATGTTGGTAGCCTTGTTGCCGATATAGAGAAAAGATGTGGGAACTGAACTTAGTTATTTTTTACATTTCGCTAATGCTTATGATTGTTCCAAGTTTTGCTGATCAATCCCAATTTATCTTTGAAAGTATTACTGATATTTTTTTTTGGTCAATTTAGCCCTTAATATTTACACTTTTTGTCATTTTAGTTATTATTATTTTTAGTTAAATTTAATCCAAACTTTTCAAAAAGAGTTAATTTTGGTCTTTAGCCTTTCAAATATGGCAATATGGATGGAGAAGAAAAACAGTTGAGAGGATTACGATATTTTATCTGAATTAATCAATCAAAATTGATTTTAAACAAATGGTTATATAACAAAAATCTTTAAAAAAATCAAACTTTATATAGTGCTAAACATAAGTACACGTGTAGAAACAACACATACTCATCAGCCGCCATTTATCGCCACGTGTCTGTCCCCACTCCCCTCTAAATCCCATCAGCACCCTACTACTCCCTTTTAGTTCCCACAATTCTTTTGGGGAAAACCACACACTCAAGCCAAAAGAAAAATGGAAGACGAAAGATCAAGCTCCCTTCTTCAGGTGAAAAAAAAATGAAACTTCCCCACATTTTTATTTATTTACATTTCATCATTTCTTTTATTATCTTTAGTTTTTGTATTTTTTTTTTTTAAAAATATTTTTTGGTGTTTGAATTTTGTAGGTAATGGTGAATGAAGGGCTGGTGCCATCACCAGAAGAAGAAGAAAGAAGGAAAAATGTCATTGAAAAGCTTAAAAAAGTGTACCCTTTGATCTCTTTTTTCATTTGATTATATTGAATCATTTCCTAAATCTTTTTTAATGGCTGAAAATTTTCATGGTTTTGTTTTTTTGCAGATAGTAATGGCCTGGGCTAAGCGAGTAGCTTGGCAACATAACTGTCGTTATTGCCGTAATTGCGGGTATCGCAGTCATGAATAACAGTTTTGGATGGCACCACTATCGTTATATAGCGGGGGGCTATTGCAGTAATGAACCGTTATTTATTGTATGCATGGTCCTGCTACCCTCAAGATCACTGTAGGTTTTAAATTCCGAGTGAACCGGGGTTCAATTGGCGCTGTTTAGGCGTAAAATTCTAAAAGAACCGATGTTCGATCTGCGTCGGATAGGAGTGAAGTCTTAGATGCACCAGATTGATACGAGAGAGTGCATAATTAAACAATTTATTGATCTGGTCCTTGGTTCAGAGGACGATGTCCATGCTTTATGTGTTGATACAAGAGGGTGTGCCCCTGAGATGGTAGGGAATTAGGTTTAGCCAAAAACGGTACATTGATGCTTTATGTGTTATCCTTACTGAATTTAACAACTGTTATGTGTTGATATGAAAGAATACATCCATGGCAAAATGATGCTCGAACCGGGGCCGGTCCAATGAGTTTTAATGCCCTAGGCGAGATAATAATTTTATGCCCCTATACTTGTACCGTATAATAGACAAAACATATGAAGGAATTATATGATATGACACGTTCTGTTCTTTCTTCACAAATGCCAATCATTTTACTGTGAATTCAACTTGAACTTACGTCTAGAGTTAAAAACAAAAGCACTCCCCTCGTTTGTTCGACACAATAATACTTTTAAGCAAGCCTATCATTTTCTGTGGTTAACAAAAAAAAAAAAACATTTGGAGAGCCATCGAGTAAACACTTTAATGGTAATTTTCTTTATGCAGTGTCACATCAATTAGTTTTTATGCTAAGGATCTTTGCTGGTAAATATATTGCTTTAGGGAAAATAACAGATTATGGTCACCAAATTTTGAAAACCTTTAACAAAGACTCCTATTAGAACAAGGGTAAAAGGTTTAGAAACTTTTTCATGCAACACATGTGCTTTAAACAGATTGTGGAAGTTGCTTGAAATTAAAGCTTATGTACCTGAAAGAGTTGAGACCGTCTTTAAAGCCTTTTGCTTGGCTTTGTCATCATGCAAATCCAACTTCAACACAACCTTCTATAATAAAACACGAGATATATTTTTCAGAATCATCCATGTTTTTTTTATAATTAATTTGTAAGGAATCATAATCGAATTTAAGAACAACCCACAATGAGATGCGTAGTGAACTCGCACACATGTTTGGCCTTGAAGGCCAGTTGGAGGACACTTTGAGATCAGGCTGGCAGCTTGTATTTGTCGATCAGGAGAATGACGTTCTTCTCCTTGGTGATGACCCTTGGCCGTTAGTTTCTATTATCCTATTGCATGCATATAGTTGTGTATGAAGCTATAGGATGCATGTCAAGTTACTTTGTATTGTACCATTTGCTCAAGAAATTGTTGCATTAAAATACTTCTAACATCGATGCACATCCAAGGATAGCACATCTGTGAAAACTTGGTAGGGGTAAATTGAAGCCTATTATGAACAAAAAAGAAATGAAACCTTTTGGATGCATGCATTTAAATCTATTTTGCGTTTTCCACATGCTATGTTCTTTGCTAATTCCAAACTTTACTTTCCATTTCCTTTCCCCCAGGGAGTTTGTGAACAGTGTGTGGTGCATCAAGATACTTTCACCGCAAGAAGTTCAGCAAATGGGCAAGCGAGACCTGGAGCTTCTTAACTCTCTGTTCCAGTTCAGAGGCTCTCAAATGGCAGTTGTGATGACTTTGTGAGCCAGCAGGACTTGAGAAATATGAACTCCAGTATCGCTTCGGTGGGGTCCTTGGACTTAAGAAATACTTTCACGTACATGCTGCCCATCTTTGTCTTCTAGAAAATGATGCCCCTACATGCTGCCCTGGGCCGTCGCCCATGTGGCACATGTATAGGGCCGGCCCTGGCTCGAACTGTCTTAGCAGGGAAAAGAAAAGAATAAGTAGAGCATAGCTTGCCATTGTTGCCAACTGAATTGTATCGATTTATTGAACAGGTTCATGATTCGGAGTCCGACATCAATGCTGTATGCATTGGTCCTTACTTTGCCACCATGGCGGTAAGTAGATTTAATTGCTCCATACATTGTCTCTTTATATACTATTTGAGGTTTCGAATTAGTATGGTTTCAAATATGGGTACTTGTAATAACGCAGGAAGATTTCTTTATCGTTTTATATAACATGCTTAAGAGCAGACACGAGGTATCTGAGATTCATTGTGTGAAGGATTCAAAAGTCCCGCTAATACGTTTTGAGTGTGATGGAATCTCGATAGATCTTCCCTATGTGCAGCTTAAAGTGTTGGCTGTTCCTGAGGTAAAGCATAAGCGATACGGATTTGCATTAAGATATCATGTTTCGAAAAATCGATTAGCCTTATCCTTTGAACAGCAGATTCTAGACATTTTTGATCCCCTCTTTCTGAGGGATATTGATGAGACCGGTTGGAAAAGTCTGTCTGGAGTGTGTGCAAACAGGTGGGTTTGTCGGCTTGTTCCGAACTTGGAGGTACATCAGCTGCCCTTTCTTTTCTTTTTAATTCTGATGGCATCTGGAAACTCTGTTTTTCATTCGGAATGTTGTGCATTTTCGTCATTTGTGAATCTAATGCTTGGTGTACTTTAGAGATTCCAATCGATGTTACCATGTGTCAAATTTTGGGCAAAGAGACGAAGAGTGTACGGTAATGTAAGTGCAATGTGCTATCTATTGCTCGACTTCATCTTTTCTTCAGCATATGAATATTTTTCTAATTACATCAACTAATAATGTATCGGTCGCAGTTAAATGGGTTTCTTGGAGGAATTCATTTGGCAATTCTCGCTGCCTTTGTTTGTCAGTGTGAGCCAAATGCCGGTTCGAGTGCTCTAATTTCAAATTTCTTCAAAAAAAAATTGCTTTCTGGTCTTGGCCTACGCTGGTAGAGCTTCAAGATGGATCATTGCATCCTACCGTAAATTTATTCCCATTCGGTTGCCGTTTAGTCCTTATGAATATTGTCATTAAACATTACCAGAAGCGCATTCTATAAAATCAGAGCCGAGTTTCTTCGAGGCCATATCTTTACCACGGTACAAGTTATTCTTTATTATTCCTCTTCTTTTCTTTTTCTCTGCACGAAATCCAGATGAGCCAAGTTTCTTTTTCTCTGCCCGCTTGATTAGGAGTTTTCACTTCCCTTTTTCGTATGATCGTCCATTATAGATAAAGTTGTTTCATTCACTTGTTTACAACCGATTAAAAACAGTTTTCCGGTATTGCAGGATCTTCTGAAGTCTGATTTTGATTGGCACAACGTATTGGAGCCTTTTCTGTATACCAAGAAATATTCCCGGTTTCTCAAATTTTCTTTCGGCTTCTAAACAGGATGAACTTGGAGACTGGGTGGGTTGGATAAAGTCCCGCTTTCGATGTCTTCTCTTCAAGGTATACTTCTCCTATACGACCCTCATTTTCATTTACGGGAAGGGGGGACTGGGACTGGGACTGGGTTGTTGATAGGTCTCGGCGAGTCGAGTGATATATTCTTGATGCGTCTAGGATACAAACGAATAAGGCGAATGTCATTGTTTTTCAAGGTTCATGATAAATAACAGTTATCTCATACTTGGTAGTTGAGTTTTCGAAGGTTGAATCGGGAGCTTCTTCTCAGTGACCATTTAGGTTTGGGGTCTGTCTGATCAAATTCTACTTGTCTGCTGCATAATGTCTCTTGTTTTCGAAGTCCCAGCTTGATTTCCGCATAATCCATGCTTTGGTGTGGTCTCCTCTTTAATGAGGTTTTACTTATTGCAGAGCTTGAGGAGGTACAGGGTATATGTGACCCTAATCCTGCAGAATATATCGACGTCGACACGGCAAAGCCTCACGTCGTTTTCTACTGGGGCTTGCAACCAGGCAAAAGTAACGCCATAGATACCGAATCCGTGAAGGACGTTTTCTGGAGGAATATCTGTACCGGCTATCAAGGTCCTTTCGGAGAAATGGAGTTATCTGTTGACCAGGCTTATCAACTACCCAAGTGTGTTTGATCCGATACCGTAAACGGGAAAGGAACGAAAGCTTGTTGGAAGATGATCGACTAATACAACGGATTCCAATATACTCGCAACATCTTCCGCACTACGTCGTCGGATATGTCTCGACAAATGGGGACCCCGAGTATCCGAGTGCCGGGGTCTAGAATTAGGCTATCCTGTTTTGCAATTCTTATTGTTGCGTAGTTCATATGGAGAGCTTATAGCAAGAAACTAAGGGGGCATTTTTTTTTATTCTTTTGCAGTAGATTGCTGTTTTACCCTTTATAATTAGGGGTGTTTAAATAGTTAATTTGGTCACCGATCGAATTTAATTTTCGTTAATCAAATTAACCGGATTTTTTTTCTTTAACCGTTAATGAACCAATTTCTTTTTAAATATTAACCGAACCGAATAAAGTTTAATTTTTTCGGTTTGTTAATTGAAATTTTTTATATTTTTTAATTAGATTAATTTAAATATAATAGAAGTATTTTTTTATTTGGGTTGAAATTTAATTAGATATTAATAATTTAATGAGTTTAGTGTGGTTTAAAATAATTGGGTCCTAATTCTTAATGAGAGTTTTAGATAAAAATATGTATTTAATATTTATAAAATATTTAATATTTAATAATTTCGGTTAATTTGATTAATTAATCGATTCGAATCAAATTAATTGTTAATCGAATATTGAAAAAATATTAACCGTTCTCTGACCGAACTAATTGGATAGTTGACCAAATTAATTGAATTAATTCGGTTCGATCTATTAATTCAGTTAAAATCGAATAATGAGACCCTATTTATAATCAACCAAGGATTATTTAGAGTAATATTCAATATAGAATTTAAATAAATAGATTATCTTTATTAGATAATTTGCATCTCATGCAAAATATTTTAAAAATTCAAGTATACATAGAGATCAATTTAGAATAGAATAATCTTTTAAGAATGTCGAATTATAAATCATATAAAATAAATAGGTAAAAGGATAATTTTTACCCTTGTAGTAGATTAAATTTATCATTTTCGTTCATATCATATTTTCGCATTAATTCAACCCTAAATGTTATTCAATTGCATCATTATATACTCTATCTAACTTAAAACCATGAATTATAAACTTAAAACCCTAAACTATAACTTCATTGCCTCTAAACCATAAATATTAAACCCTAAACACTAATTTATGAAGTAGAATTTAGGTTTTAAGATAGAAAAAGAGTATATAATGATGTAATTAAATAACTTTGAGGATTAAATTGATGCGAAAATACGATAAAAACGAAAATGATAAATTGAGTCTACAGAGACAAAGGTGAACCTTAAACCAAATAAATAATATTAAATGAATATGAAATATACATAAACTACTACATAATTTAACATAAAAGTGTGGTTAAAGGTATCTTTAGATGTACATGTAATCAGATTATGAATTCCTTCGATCTTGGAATTTTTTAATATTCTTTTTCAGCTATACTAGGAGCAACAATAGTACAAAATGTTGCATGATCATGTAGTACAAAATACTAATGAGATTTGGTTAAAATGATAAGTAATTTGATATTGTTTAAGTAAGGTTTCAGGTTTGAGTTTTTGTATATATAAAAAATATTTATTGAGAGATTCATCCGTCAAAATTAAGTGTACGACACGAGTCAATTTGAATTAGTTAAAGAATTTATCCATTTTATATATACTATGAACAAGGATGAATGCACTATTGTTTTTAGAGGTGTAAGTGTATATTCATTATTTTAAAAAAGTTAGTAAATTTCATTTAGTGGGTTAGAGAGAAGAAGAAATATAAGAAACTTTATATATTTAATTTTTATAAAATGTATTAAAATTTTGAATCCTTATTTTTAAATTTTTGGATTAATTTATATATATTTCAGGGGTGGATGCATTAAGCTCCCATACGAATCAAGTGTATCTTTATTATTTTTGAAAAATTGTTAAATTTAATATGTTGAGGGAAAAGTGAAAAATATTACATACCCATTATTTTTTAAAAAAGAAAATTAAAATTTCGATCATCATTCTTAAATTTTTGGATCTGCCACTAATATACTTCGTATTAATAAGATACTATTTGTCTTATATACTAATGTGATCAAGACGAGTGTAACACCTTTAACCTGTATACGTACCCGAATACTAGTCAAATATGTCACATAGCATTTACAAACATACTATAGTTAAAAACTCGCATAAATTTGAATTTATAAAACTTATCTAATTTAATCATTCTAATAGAATAATATAATCACGTAAAATCATATTATAATATTTAAACATCCAAATCAATATCAGTTTCAAGCAGCAACTAGACAGTTCTATATTGTTTCCTATCATAAAGTAAACTAAATAATTGTCTAATTTAAAATATTTCTTTATTCTAATAAAATATAACTTTTATCTAAAAAAAAACTTAGATTCATATTTATATTCATAATAATATATCTTAGACATTTCTTATTGTATACATGTCGTCTAGAAAATTTAAAAGAGTAGGATGTCATTACTGATACCTGTAATTATTCTTTATTGATTGATGCCAAGCTCCACTCCTTACTCCACTTGTTTTTCTTAACTTACACGTGAAAGTCATCACACACTAAATATACACTTAGTTAAACATTATAAACAAACTAACGTGATATTAAATATAAAACAACTTAATAATATTATATCAATTTAAAACATTAAACTTAATTCAAATAAAATCACAGATATCCAAACCGATTTATTCAAGCTATTTTTCTT